ACGTGAGAAGTATGGAAACAAAAATATCAGGACTAAATTAATTCAATTATTTTAAGAAAATGGAAAAATTAAGAAGAAAGAAGATAGAGAAATTAAGAAGATTATTAACTTGCAGAAAATGGATATTTAAGTCAGAATGCAACGTGCAATAATGGTAATAATTGATGGGAAAATTCGAAACAATTTGACGTTGCACATCCTTATTGACTCGACCTCGAGATGAAAAGTTTGGAAACAACATAAAAGCCCGATAAATACAATGATCCGCATTGTGGTGGTCCACTTGAAACATCTCTCTCGAATGCATCCCACATAAACATCGTCGAAATAAACACATGAAATTTATTTGTTAAGGCAAAAGTCGAATTGGCAATGGAGGAACAAAACCCACGTTCGAAAGCACTCTCGAGTGGAACGATTATTTGGGGCGGGATATATAAGAAAGAAATCTTTGTTCTACGAAATGAAACATCTGTTTTAACTCAAGATTAGGCACTCGACTAATGGCAAAAGTACAGAACACCAGCAGCCACATGTGGTTGTGTGGGTGATTTCGACGACCTGGATTTCTGTGTAGGAATGGGCCAATTTTATTGCATCGTTTCAATTGCTGGTAGTAAACCTGGTTGGTTTCGAGCATTTGCTCACATTCATCCCTATGTCGAAAACCTGTCTGCTCCAGAACGGATATCGGGAATTCATTGTTTCCCTTTCGGATCAGGTTTCACTGCTTCACGATCACATCAGGCTGCAAATCCTCCCTCTAATATGAGGGATGAAGTCAGCTGCATCGCCACCTTTTCAGGCAAATTCGACACTTTATGGCTGCTGTTATTAAGGCAAGCTATAATTAAATCAACTACTAGTACCGTCTTCAATGAGAAAGCAAAAACGCCGCTAATTGGCCAGACGTGAAATTGTCGCTACCAGCAATTTACCTGAATTATTTATTGAAACAATTCCCAGACGAGGAAGTCGCCGATAATTCAAGACGATCGAACCTAATTTGCACAACTTATAGAAAACAAATTTTAAATTACTCTTCAGCAACAGGTTAAGTTTAAGCGCAATTGCCGTTAGACAATCCGGTATATGTCTGAACTAGATGAGCGACTACATGGTGTCAGACTTGCCTTAATCGGACACAATTTTTTTGGGTACATGGGAGAACAAAGTTTGAAAATTTCACAAGAGGATTGAAAAACAGCGTAGATTAATCAACGACTAAAACGCATACACCCCCAGAGAAGAGCCAAAGGCCGTTCAAAATTATCGTATTTTTTGGAAATTCCAGTTGCACTTACAAAAATATTTTTTTTTTACTTTCAGTAGTTTTTCTTTTTATTTTGTACAAATTTTACAATTTTAACTTGAATCGCTTCTTTACCTATTGGGTTACAGATTATTGGGTGCGTTTCATACTACATACTTCTTTCTTAGATGGATTCTTTACATTTTCATTATTCTCGCTAGTTAATCGCGCGAATGTTTGCTTCTAATTGTCTTCTATTCTCCGTTTTGTCATGAATTTTACAGATTCGTTTACGTCTAATTGTTCGGAAGTATTTAAGCTGTAAAATAGCTTGTCGTGAAAAATTCTGAAATTGAATACTGAAATGTGAAGTGAATTGAATAATAGATTAATCAACAACTGAAAAGTATGGAGTACAGTAAGAATAATGATCAGAGAAGTGAGAAGCAAGCAGGAGAATAAATCGAAAAATGGGGAATACATGAATGAGTGATAATAATTTAGAAAAAAAAAACACGTGAAGAATTAAGAAACAAAGATTTATTGTGTCGAAATAAAGCAGTATGAACAAATGAAAAATTATTGTATAAAAAATTTACAAACAAGTAATAGTGTCGACTATTTTATAAATACTCGTTCACTACAATTAATTTCAGAAGCCTAAACAATTTAAATCTAAATAAAAAAATGTAGTAAGAAAGTGGACAAAACACTAAATAATCAATCAATGACTCAAAAAAGCCAAACCACACACGAAGGACACTAACTAAATGAAAGGAGAAAAAGGCACAAATCAAAGACGAAAACCAACCAAGTAGCAACTTTTTGAAAAGACGATCAATTGGTCGATAATTTCAATGGGTTTTTAAACTCAAATTCCTCCCAAAAGAAAGTCAAATTTAAATCTTCCAGCCAGATTTACCAGCGATACCTATCTGGCTTCATTATAAAATCCACGTTCTACTTTACAAAGCGGATGTGACTAGTCCAGAGCATTGTTAGATCCACATTTGTTGGCTTAATGGAAACCATGTGTGTTATGTTTCTACCTTTCTCTTTCGGGCGACAGGAAAATAAAAGTTATGCGTCATATTTCACAATGTGACTAGGTAGATTCGCATTTAGAATCCGTATCCTGAACGATGTTCGGTCTCAGGTTTCCCACTGTTTTTCCGCTTCAAGTGGTTTTTCATTAATCTTTGGGAATTTGGGTTGCTTTTTCAGTTTTCTGGATAACATCTGGACCAAAAGGTTCCTCAATAAATCATAAGCCCGTCTGAAGACTCACGGATCCGGAGGGGAAGGACCAAAATGTCTGAACCTGTCGATGTCGTCGCACTTCAACCGATCCCGTTGCATGCATTCACCTAAATAATGGTTTATCGGTTTCGATCTCGGTATTTTAAGACCGATTAGAATTGGCTTTACAATGAACCGAAAGCAATAATAAATATGGTAATATAGATTACATAATACCACCAAAAATAAACCTTTGCATATCATTAAGGCGACGCTTTGATTATTTCCCATCGTATCGCTATTTTATAAAGTGAACAACCTTTTCAAAATCCGAAACCGGTCCGGCGATTACCATAACAATTGTCCCCTTGGAAGAAACTCGCATCTCCACAAAACAACCTGTTAATTGTGTAATTATTTCAAAGATCCACGGTTCGGACTTCTTGCATGAATCGCACGATTTCCATTTCTCGTCTACTCGCCGATCTTGACCAAAGAAGACAAAGCAAATCAGACAATGTGGTTTTCAAAAGAGACTAAAATGCACACTGTTTCTGATTGTTTTGCTCGCAGTCGCACTTCAAAAGTCTCACAGGTGTGTATTATTTGACACTTTTTGCTACGCCTGCACGATTTGTAAACTGTTTTAAGAGATTAAAGGCGTAAAATTAAACAGAGAAGTTTTGGCAAATATCGCAAAAAGTGAAGTAGAAAAATAACAAAATTGGCCAACTAAACCAAAAATAAAAATTTTTACTAAGTTTTTGCGTTGTTATACTGTACATTTTTAGCTATTGAAAGGGTGCTGTGTATTTTCCCCGGTTAATTCAGTGTACTAATAGTTTATTTCGTTAAGTCTTAAGTCCCTAGGATGAGGAGGCTAAATAGAAAGCAATTTAAATAACAATAAATAAAGTAATAATCATTTGTCAGGTGTTCAGAGTGGAAATAGAGTGACATTGTAGAATGGTTGTCAGCACATATTTGTAGGAGATGACACAATTTTAATGCATTTTGGACAAATGTCAAGACTGTGAAAAATTCCACGCATTATTGTTTTGCGAACAAAGCATGATTCACATGTCTAGCTTTTGAAACAGCTGTAGATCGCCAAAGTATTAATAATAAGCGGTTTTTAGGCGGTCGCCCGTGCAGTTGGTTGTGGCCCGACAAGATCAAGCTTATAAAAGCCGGAAAGCTTGGAATTTTCGATCTCAAGATAAAAGCTATTATTTTTTCTCTCATCTGTTCCAATTAAAAGACCAGCCCGAATATCAACTGCAAATTTACCTTCCGAGACAACGGGCTAGCGTAATAAAAATAAAGATGCTGATGAGCCAGCTTTATAAGGCCTGCTAAATATAAAAATCTCGTTCTTCTCGTGATAAAATACAAAAGAATTCGTTTTATACTTCGCTCGAGCGTTTCTCGACTCGATTTAAGAAGAAAGTCCCACACATAAACACCTGCAGTGTTGTTACATCACCGTCATTTTGTTAAATTGTCGTTTCACATGTACTCAAACTAGCTGGAAATTAATCCCTGTTCCTCAACAGGTTGCTCATGTTCGAAATCCACAAATACCTTAATAACAGCGTCTGGAAGCCACCCCTAACAACATACTCAAGAATTCATTCGGCTCTCCCTCGGGCTTTCCATAAAAGTGTGTTTTCGAACAGGCCCTTGTTCTCACAAAACCCAAGCCATTAATTTTTTATCGTTTTCCGGCATTGTCACTAAATCAGGAATGCACCCTCGACCTAAAGAGCGGCTCGACATCACAAAACACACACTCTTGAGACTAGTGATGACTGTGTTACTTAGTGTTCTATTTTGGGCAATTGGGGCGAAAATTCCCTGTTTACTTCACGCAAAAATGTGCCAGCTAAGCGAATAGTTAAAAGCGGTTGGTTCAGATGAATTCAAAAACCACAAACTTCGTAATTGATGGCAGATTTATTTAAATCATGAATGAACGTGCATGTTTTAGATGTCAGGGCGTGAATGGCATCTACAAGTAATTTTATTAATCAAAAGATTTTAAGCTAAGCAATTAATTTTTGCAAATTAGGTAAAACTTCAGTTGCAAAGATAAGGTTTGATCTTTGATAGAATAGTGTTGAGTGAGGAATTTAATTTAAAAAATGCGTGTAGTTTGTGGATAGTTTTTTTGCCGTTTTAGTCGCCTTTGTAGATCTGAATTAAGATTAATTAACACTTAACAGTTATTAAGTGCCCATAAAAATGATTGAATTGCGATATTGTCATATTTCGCACAACCGAGTTTCTTTACAATCGACGGTTGCTTAAATGCAAAGTTACCTATTTCTTGTTCTTCTGCCACTACACAGTTATATGTAGGTATAGGTATAGGTATAGACAAGCTAACGTTCACGGGCCTCAATTTGTTGCAAATGACAAATATCAACAAATGTATATTTTTCGGTGGTTTTAACCAAAAATTAAATTTGCATTTAGAATAACTCGAATTTTATGAATCTTTTTGCAGATTGATAAACCAACCGGTTACTTCCCAAACTCCTGCCTTGCTACCGCGCCGACAGAGATGACAAGTAAGTAGGTATTTCATTTTCCTGCAAATGACATTATTTTTTGGGTCAATAACTTCAAATTTTCAACCTCAATACTGGCGATTTTTGTCAAAATGTTGTTGAATTACACGGTGAAAGTGCGAATGAACTCCAAAACGAAACAAAGTATTCACCATAGTTGCCTAAGACATTTGAACTGATGGATCAAGTCAATTTACTCAACGAAAAATCGCATGTTGATCGATTGAACGTAGCGCCTCCTTTTTCAAATTAACATTTAAACATTCATTTAAATCGTTTTCTCTTAGGCAGTCTTCAGTAAAACACCCTGTATATGCTGGCGCTTGTTCCCAGCACCTGACTCGTCAGCTAGATAATTGAGAACAGGGACACTTTCCTTATTAACACTCGGTACTAGCATAAGACATGGTAAAGAAATGTGATGTTGCTAGTAGGTTAGAGCGATAAGGGATAGGAGTCTGGAAACATCTAGCTAGTGATCTTAATTGACCCCATATTCGATGGGTGTCTGCATCTGCATATAATTTGTCTTCGTATATTGAACTTGCTTTGGAAGAATATAGCCAGAATGTGGTTGCATCTGTGGAGTTGGTTGGATCGTTAAGGACAGGACGTAGACGTTTCGGGCAGTTGCAGTGGGCAACATGCAGATGAAAAAATGAGACTCACCTAAGCTGCTTGAACAGTGCGAGGGAGTCAACACATGGCTGTAGATTCGCCAGTGAGCGAACCTCTTGAAGATGTGCGGCAGCCACTGTGTTCGTTAACCAAACTGGGCGCACTGCATAAAAGAGATCCGGCTCGCTACTGGGATATGCGCACCCTTGTTTGACTCGATGCGCAACCCCTCGCTCTATTGTTTACTTGGAGTTCTATTGGCCCGACAACGAGTGTCCGACGTTTCGTGCACCTGTCACCTGCCTCAGGTCCTCGCCTTAAGACTATTGTCACACACTGCGATCGCACCACTTGGACTGATTTCACGACGTTTCGCCAGCGGACGTACGAGTAATGTGCGTGTACACTGCGTGCCGAGATGCCTCTGTTTGCTTCGGCATCAGCGGTTCTGCTGCAGCATCTCCCCCACTTTCGATGGGCCCGCCTTTGGACCTCCCTGCTACACCACGTGTGCAGACCGCCTACTTTGCGAATTGTACTCGTGTAGATGAGCCTTAAGAGGTTTGCGAACTGGTATTGTTGTGAAGGCGGGGCATCTCCGGGGACTCCCACAAGACACTGACGATCATACGCTTTCTTGCGTAATCCTTTTCGCAATTATTACCCTGATTGTTTTCCTTTTGGCAACAATGTGCCGTGTCTTTGCTATGCACAGTCTCGAACGGGGGGATTTTTTTTTCTGCAGTCCACTCGGATGTTTATCGGGAAATCATCGCCAGCTTGGACAGGCTGAATTATTTAACTCCTGCAATCCCATAATGATAACTCGAAAATTCACGTTTCAAATGCGGTTTTTTTTCAATTTTCCTTTGCATTCTACGTCAATGTTTCGCATAAAATAGGCGCCCGGAATTTCTCGTTCCCGCAAAGTTCCTTTCTGGTCTTTGCTTTTTAGTCAGCAAAACTTGACACTGAAAAATCGTTTAATTTCAGTTCCCGAGGGAAACCACAGGCTCTCTTGAAAAATTATTCAAGAGAATGCGAAAAATTATCTTTGTGACTTGAGCAATGGCTCTCCTTCACTTGTTTGGAGCTTATTAAAGGTGGCGTCCTCAGTGAGTCACCCTGTATATTCGTTCGCCTTCTTTAAAAAGCATCCATCATCCATCTACTCAGGAACGGCATTGTTATGCAAGTACAAGCAGTTTTTGATTGAACCATTGTATTTACTCGCATTGCTACTAAGGATGCTGTAAAAATTCATAATTTTCCCTTAACGAAAGGCTCTAACAGCATTTCACTCTGTAGACTTTTCCTGAGCGAAAATCCGCAAATTCCTGGTTCTAAGAATTGTCTCTCAATTGATAAGTGAAATTAAACATGAAATGTTCAAATCAAGCACAGTAAATAATTTAGGCAAATTTTGTTGTTTCTTTGGTAAAATAACGATTTTTGCCTGCTAAAACCTAGATGGCAATGTTAAATGTTTCATTAGTCGCATGAGTGCGCACATTATCTCTACAGCTAAGTTAGGCAAAAGGCCCAACTGGGTTTTAACCCAATTCGCAGACGACGCGCTCATTGCAATGTATAATTTATGAACATTGGCGAAGTTATAACGATGTTCTGTTCCGAGGCTTTTAGGCCGTAAACAAACGTTCAATGTTACTTCATGATTCCGGGAAATTTACATCAGGAAGTTACCGATGGTTTCAGGACTTATTATATTATAGAATTAGCTCGCCGGTTGTATGTAAATTATATTTTTTTGATAAATTTGGTGGAAAACCGTGATTTTATTCTACTAAAACAGCTGCTAAAATGCTAAGAAAATTAAAATGAAATTTAAGGCCAAGGAAAACTGAGAGTAGGTACCTAATTTATGTATTTTCTAGAATTTGAAGGTTCATCTTCTAAAGCTGTTTTCTTCTGTCTCATGTCTCCCTTTTTCTTGACTTTTTGCGTTACAAAAAAATCTGCTTAAAATGCTTAAAGTTCGTAAAGGCTTAGAAAATGTTGGTATCAAAATGTTAGCTTCTGTCCGGCTGCCCTCGCTCTCGCAAAAATGCCCAACCTCCAAACGAGAGCAAGTTCCAACTGGAAACTTTCAAAGTCCTTAGCACCCACTCGCCTTAAAACGGAAATACATACAAGTTTTCACTCATCTGCTCCCGCTTCTCTAAAAAGTTTATTTTTCGAAACCAGGGCAAGTAGCAACTTGAAACTTTTACAGGTCGTAGTAGTCATTTGTTTTATTGTTGTTTTATGAAAATCGTATAGAATGCCAATTTTTGGCAGCTTTGTGAATGTTAGTCTTTAAATGGAAAGTTTCACCCTTTCGCCCTTTTAAAAAGTTTTATTTTGAAATTCAGCGCAAGTAGACACTTGAAATGTAAATGAATTTTATGGCAAGCAGCTACTTGCCATAAAATGAGGAGAGATTTTGGCTAAAACTCGCATGACATGCCGTTTTTTAGCGGGTTTGTAAATGTTAGTAGCAAAATGAAAGTTTTTACCCATCTGCTCTCACTCCTTTCAGAAGTTGGATTTTTCGAAACCAAAGCAAGTGAACTTTAAAAAAAGAACCAAATATTCGAAACCAAAGCGACTTGAAACTTTTACGGCCCGAGGCAGCCACTTTCTTTAACATGGACAAAAAGTTTTATCAAAATCGCATTCAAAGCCAATATTTGGCAGCTTTGTGAATGTTAGTCCTTGAATGGAAGTTTTATTTTGAAATCCACCGCAAGTAGCCACTTGAACCTGTCACATATTTAAGCAGCTACCTGCCGTAAAATGAAGAGGGATTTTGACCACAAATCGCATGACAAGCCGTTTTTTAGCGGGTTTTTAAAGGTACCTAAGTCGTAAAGTGAAACTTTTTACCCATCTGCTCCCACTCTCTGCAGAAGTTCTATTTTCGAAACCAAAGCAAGTAGCAACTTGAAACTTTTACAGTCCGATGCAGCCATATTATATTATATCCAAATTGCATCGCCCGCCAATTTTTGGCAACTTTATGAATGTTAGTCTTTAAATGGAAGTTTTCACCGTTTCTGTTTCCGCTTTTTTTTAAGTTCTATTTATACATAGTTTTTAAGTAAAGGTTTACAGATTTGGGCAGCTTGCCTTGACATTACAGCCTTGCGGGAAAATGAAGAGGTATTTTCATCAAAATAGTATGAAAAGTCCATGTTTGGCAGCGTTATAAATGCGAGTCGTAAATTGAAAATTGTCAGACACCTGACACACCGCTGTTTTAAAAAAAGTATCTTTTCTAAATCAGCGCAAGTAGCAACTTGAACCTTTTACAGTTGCTTGGTGAATGTTAGTCTATACTTAAATGGAAGTTTTTACCATCTGCTCCCTCTTTTTGTTTAAAACTTTATTTTCAAATTCAGCGCAAGTAGCGACTTGTCTTAAACGACCTTTTCATCAAAATCGCATAAAAAGCCGATTTTTAGCAGCTTTGTAAATAAGTATAAAAATGGAAGTTTGCATTTATCTGCTCCATCTCCTTTAGAAGTGCAATTTCACAGATTTTTTGTAGAACCAGTTCAAGTCGTAACTTGAAACTTCTACAGTTTCTAGAATATACCTCACACTAAACGGCCGAATTTATCCTAAAAATCATACAGAATTCTCATTTTTTCCGATATTTTTCCATAAATGTTGATTTCCAAACAGTGTTTGTTTGTGTTTTGTTGTTCACTAAGATTTTTGGTGATTAAAAAAGACGGTTTGATAAAACCATAACTTTCAGATATGAAACTGCTAAAACTATAACATTTGACTAAGCGCGTCTTTTTTGTGTTGAAGTCAAGGGCCTAAAATTGCGATTTTTTCGCAATTTTATTTATTGTTTCAGACAATTTCTACACCATTGGGAAAGGGAGGAGAAAATGAAACCGGCATTACAAAGGTAGGAAAAGTTTCGCGTGTTTCTAAAAAATCAAGCGTGTTACTTTCAAATGAATCTCTGTGGAACCTTTGAAGACGATTTGATTAGATTTTGCAAGCAAATGTAATTGGAGTCTACATTTTATTTGGGGTCGACTTTTTGACTGGAAGTTTACCAATTGTACTTAAAGAATTGGAAACATTGGCCGGTTCAAATTAACTGAAAACGTGAGTTTTTCCATATTGTTTTTCAAAGACCAGTTACTGCTGTTAAAGTGCGAGAGAAATAATGGACGCGAGTGTGGAAAGTTAGATTTTAAGTGAATTTCACTGCAACTAATTTCCCCTCAAATTACCTTGACTGAATATCCAGGTTTTGGTCCACATTGGACGTTTGTTCGAAGTCAAAGAGCGTCAAGGAGAACGTCATTATAAGTTCGGCGATGTTCATAAAATATACATCGCAGAATTGGAACGAGGGGACGCGGACTTGGATAATCTATATGTTGTTCCCGGCATGAGATAATGCGGTTAGTCCAGTTAGCCCTTTAGCCTTTAACAGTCTGTGTGAATAATATGGCTGTTTTATGAGCGATTAATAAATAATGGGAATAATTCTTTCCGCTCGGAAACTGAGCCCCGATTTAGAGTCCTCTCGCTTGATGGGTGTACATGTGGGATAAAATCTAATTATCTCATCCAGTTCTTACGTACTTACTGCAAGAATTATTATTAAGTTCTTTTAACCATTACGGCTGATCAGTAAGATTCTACACAACATAATTATATTTGCATATAACTATTATAAACGTGGTATTCGAGGTTGTACGGAAAATAGCCAATAGCGGAATGGAATTTATTGTCAACGAGCCTTCTATGGTAAAGGCCATTTTCCATTATCACAAAGATGTCAAACCGAGAACTTGTTTGAATTTCCAATCAATATGAAAATTTACCACAGGTAAGATGCAAATATGCAGATTGGTTCATTAATATTTAAAACATTCGAAAAACTAAACAAGTACGAAAGAAAATCGAGGCGGGGCGGTTGCGATTAATTTATGCGATTAATAATGCAATTTTGTCAATGTAAATAATGTTAAAGAGTAGGTTTTTTTATGTTAATCGACTGCTCGCTGACAGTTATTTAGTGAGCATTGGTTTTTATGGCAATTAGAAGAAAACTTGCACATTACAAAATGGAAACACATTGTTGCCGAGTCGAGGTAAAGGTACTAAGTTTCCTTTTACGAGACAAGAGCAACTAAGCGTTGTTACCAGGACACTTAACCGTCTAGTAGCCAGCCAGCTAAAATAAATTATTCCATACATTTTATATTTACGGCGACAAAATGCGCCAAAGTTCTCTACTCCTTTATTGTCGATACGTAAGATGGCCTCGGAGACCGCGTATAAAAGAGAGGATAAAACGGAAATAAAGAATATGACAACCATAAAAGGAGCTCAGGTGTCCAAAGAAACGCTACACACAATAAAACACGAAACATAGGGTTATGTTTTATAAAAAGGACGTCTGGTGGATCGGTCTCGAGA